ATTTTACCAACCCCACATAACCTTGGAGTGCGGAATCCAAGGTATCTGTAGCCAGATTTCCCAAAAGTCCCTAAGCAAAAAAAAAAAAATATATAAAGGACGAAATTTTCTAAAATTCATCGGATTTACTTAAAACTTTTTACTCGGGGGTTTTCGGGGTCGCTGATTACGAATCCGATTTTAGATTCTGAAAATGCATAATAGCGGATTCAATATGGCGAATGAAATTTTCTAAAATTTATCGGATTCATTTGAAACTCGTTACTAGAGGGTTTTCGCTGATTACGAAAATATGCAGTCGGATTTTTCACTCCTTTATTTATTTTGTTTTTTTATATTTTTTCTGTTTGTTCTTATATTGAATCCGCCATTTTCAAAACCGATATTACATTTTTAATCTACGACATCAATAAATCCCAAGTAACAACTTTTAAGTAACTCTGATAAATTTTTTAAAATGGCGCCAGCCATATTCGAAACGCCACATTGTATTTTAAAAATCTTATGCTAGATTGGTAATCAGCGACCCTGAAAACCCCCGAGTAACGAGTTTCAAGTAAATCCGATGAATTTTAGAAAATGTCTTCCGCCATATTGGATCCGCCATTTTGAATTTTCAAAATCTGATATCAGATTTGTAATCAGCGACCCCGAGAACCCCCGAGTATAAATTTGTGGACAAATCTGTGTGTTTTTGTAGCCAAAAATCTGCTTGCGTCTATACACGTCATCGACAGTTTGAGCCCACCTGCACCATGACGTGTATACACGTCATCGACTGCCAAGGGGTTGATTCAATAAATTCTTTATTTTTTTTTATTTTTTGAGTATCTAATAATTTTTAGATTGTATCAGAATATTCTATGGGGTCCAGGGAAAAAGTTAAAATTTTGTCTGGAAATCAGGAAAAATCAAAATTAAATTTTTGTGTCAACGTTGTCATAATTGTTTTTTATTTAACATTTTTATTTAAGGTAGCATCTATATCGAATTAAATAATGTTTCTAATTCATAATATGCCGAAAAGCCACAATCCAAATTACATAATAATATGTGCATAACAATGCGGAGAAAGTAATAGAAATACAAACAGAGAGATTCTGATTAGAAACATCAAGATCTTATGTAACAACTCTAATGTAAAGTAAGACTAATAAGAAGTTTGTCGAGACTTTGAAACACAATGAAAATTAACTATTGCACGAAACTCTTAAGTGTGCTTTTGTTCTAATCTAGCCAATCTCTTAGCACGTCATCTAACCAGAAAACTAAATTGACACAGCTACCTATACAATATTACTGATTGTGAGAGAATAACACTGGTTTACAGTGAAATTGTCAATCGAACAAAACAATTTTTTTTCCAATAGTAAGTATTTTTTTTAGTAAGAAAATCATAGTTTTAATTTTTTTCCCTTGTGCAGTTTTTCTGTAGCTTCAAATTTTGCATTTTCGAGGTGCAACGCCACTTAAACTTACCTGTAGGAAAATTAGCTTGTCAAAACATAATAAATGGGGTATCATTGGAAAGGTTATTAAATTACCTTTCGATCCACAGGTCACAGAATGAAATTCAACAAAAATTGAGAGAGTTACAGTCGATTAAAGATGAAATTTCATGACAATTTTGATGATTTTTAGACATTTGAGTAACTTCTACTATTTTTTTCTACATCAAACAGGAAAGAATGTTTAGGTTTTAATTTTTTTATTGATAGACTATATCATTACACAAATTTTGAGCCCTTGTGGACCTCGATTGGATTAAAAATGACAATTCTACACTAAATTTAGTGAACAAAACTACATTCTTCATTTTTAGTATCCCTTAAACATTTGCAGCAAAAATTGAAGTAATAAAATTTAGTTAAGCTCTAAAGTTACTAAAATCACTAATAAAGGATTTCTGAAATCGTAGATTTCGAATCCAATTTTAGTTTTCTAAATTTCAAAATGGCGGATCCAATATGGCGGACAAGTTTTTAAAAATCGATTACATTCGTCTTAAATTCGTTACTCGGGGGTTTTCGGGGTCGCTGATTACGAATCTGATGTCAGATTTCAAAAATTAAAAATGGCGGATCCAATAGGTGCGAATTTGATGGATTTTAAAAAACTCGTTCACCATTATGAATCCATCCTTTTCAATTTTCGAAATCTGACATCAGATTCGTAATCAGCGACTCCGAAAACCCCCGAGTAACGAATTTAAGACGAATGTAATCGATTTTTAAAAACTTGTCCGCCATATTGGATCCGCCATTTTGAAATTTAGAAAACTAACATTGGATTCGAAATCTACGATTTCAGAAATCCTTTATTAGTGATTTTAGTAACTTTAGAGCTTAACTAAATTTTATTACTTCAATTTTGGCTGCAAATGTTTAAGGGATACTAAAAATGAAGAATGTAGTTTCGTTCACTACATTTAGTGTAGAATTGTCATTTTTAATCCAATCGGGGTCCACAAGGGCTCAAAATTTGTGTAATGATATAGTCTATCAATAAAAAAATTAAAACCTAAACATTCTTTCCTGTTTGATGTAGAAAAAAATAGTAGAAGTTACTCAAATGTCTAAAAATCATCAAAATTGTCATGAAATTTCATCTTTAATCGACTGTAACTCTCTCAATTTTTGTTGAATTTTATTCTGTGACCTATGGATCGAAAGGTAATTTAATAACCTTTCCAATGATACCTCATTTATTATATTTTGACAAGCTAATTTTCCTACAGGTAAGTTTAAGTGGCGTCGCACCTCGAAAATGCAAAATTTGAAGCTACAGAAAAACTGCACGAGGAAAAAAAATTAAAACTATGATTTTATTACTCAAAAAACACCTACTATTCAAAAAAAAATTGTTTTGTTCGATTAACAATTTCACTGTAAACCAGTGTAAGTGGGAAATTTCGAGCTTGAACTGATTAGGCTCGGCTCGGTTCGAAAAATGAAAAGCTCGATCGAGCTTCGAGCTTTCTCCACACCTCTACTTATGTAACATCTCTCAAAATTCATTGTTTTCTATGCAGACAGAATAATAGAATCATCAATAAAATGGAGAAAATTTACTATCACAATTTGTTCTTTTGTTTTCAAGTATATAGATGAGAGAAAAATGTTCACTAGGAATTTTAAAAGGCCATTGTATTATATACGGCTAAAGATCAGCGGAATAAACATTTCATTCGTGCTTGCGTAAAAGGATGCAATGAATGATATGCAGGACGAGGGAGAGATAATGAAAATTTGCAGTCGTATACTTTATAAAACGAAAAGCGATGACAGGACTTGAGCGACTGCGAAAGGTGGTGATGGTTCTTAAGTGCAGTCTCGTCCCGGAACGTGCACGTCAAACTCGAGAGTTAAAAGATGACGGAAATTTCTATGGTACACGTGACATCCGCAATTCTCATTCCGTGCATTATTACATACACGTTCGTCCTCCGTTTGACCAAAAATGTACTCCACAAACTCAGCTAATCCATCACTTTCATATCATTTTCATATATAAATAAATCTCAAATACAATTTCATCAAAATTTTCCTATCAAAATTAATATTAAAATTGGTATCAAAAATCTTCTATGAAAACAAAATTGGCATCTAGAATTTGCTATCAAAAAGGGATATCAAAATCATTTTCCATAAAACTGGATAAACAGGAAAAATATCTTGATTAGAATAAAGTCATAGTTCCCCCCCCAAGAGAAATTTTGAAAAGACAAGAGAGAATAATTTAACATTAAATTCGAGGATAAGAAGAAAAAACGTATTTCTAGGAGAAGATGCAAGATGAAAATATAAAATCTCGCTGTCCTCAGCTATATACAGGAAAAAATTATAAAAAGGAATAAAAAAAAATTAAATTGCCACTATAAGATTTCAGCAGGAGTGTATTGAGCAAATGCAAGGTGTTACCAACAAGCCCCTCTGACGCGTCCTACATTTACATTTGTAACCTTTAATATCTCGAGGTATTTCTTAGCATTTCCTCCTCCCTTTACTAACTAATGCTGAAAGCAATTTCCGCTCCTTGCATCCACTGAAATCATTACAGCTGTATCTGTATAGAAATGAATCTCTTTTTTCCCCTCTCCAACTTTTTTTCTACGCGTATATTCATATTTTTGCATATTTCTTTTTCAAAAGATACAAAATATAAAAATATACAAAAAAAAAAGAGAAAAGTACAAAAATATAAAAATACAAAACAAAGAGAAGTACAAAAATGTACAAAAATAAGAAAAAAATAAACAAGAGGATAAAAATCCACAATTCAATTGCAACCTATTCTACGGCGATCATTATTTAAAAGAGCAGACATTCGCAGGAAAAAAAATATAAATATAAAATGCGAGAGACAAAACATTTTTCTATGTGCATCAAAAGCCTTGAAAAGAAAGTGAATTGGCAAGAGAGAAAATAAACCATGTAAAGAATACCGAGAAAATCCAACAAGTGTATATATATATTCAAACTTCTCTACTATATGCTTTTTCACTTTGAAACACGCAAGAAAACAATTCGAAACAAGATTGTACACAAGTATAAACCTTCCACGTATCGACACTATTGTTAATAATATGGAAAAAAATTGTCCATTGTCAATTTTTTTACTCAAATAAAAATCAGTAAACGAAATAATGTACAAGTATTTTTATAAAAATCTTAACGCACTGCCACGATTAATTTATATTAATCTACAATCAGTTTTGAGGGATATATTTCTAGCTGCAAAAAGGAGATTTTATTTTAATTTGCAACATTTTTAAGATCGTCTTTACTAATTTCCAGATTATGCTGATGCTGAAAAATTTTGATTTTAAAATTTTAATAAAAAAGTATATTAAAAATAATTGAATTTTAATTCAACTAGTTTAATACATCTTAAAAGGAAAGTGGATGCGATTTTTCCACTGAAGCGTTACATGTAAAAATCGAAATAATTTTAACATCCCCTTAATTTATATAGGTATGTATAATAAAATACACACTCACATAATACTTGTGATGAAGTGACATCTCTCCTTCCCTGAGAACTCGCGACCAAATTCTCCTCAATTCTGAATTCTCTTCTTTGGACACAAAAATGCAAAGTACCGGAACTTTGTCATTTTCCCTTTCTTTTTTTTCTCTTTTTGTCTCTAGATAAATATAATTGAAGATTGAATTGTCTATTGATGAGGTTCTTGTCTTTCGATTTTTGTTGTTAAATCAGTAGATGATTTAAATTGAACAATCCTGTTTGATGATGAAGAATGAAAACTCCAAGGTGTCCCATTGTTTGTTGAGTTGTAAGTTTCATCTCCTTTTGATTTGGTTTACATTCATCAAAATGCTTTATATATTATTGCAGCATTATGATGATATATTTCTTCATCATTCTTATTTTTGCTTTTTATATGCATGCTCCTCATTCTTATTTCTCGTTTTCATCTCAAGTTCATTTATTATTTCTCTTTCGATTTTATTGTCAGGTCTCCCATCATCTTCGTCTTATTCTGGGTAATAAATGTTAAGTTAAATTTACGCTGTTGCTGGAGACGGTTTGCAATAGGTTTTTCTTTTATGAGTCACCCTTTGATTTATGTGCGAAAGGCGATGGATTTAACTGAAACAAAAAATAATTTTTGCTTTTACTACAAGTTTAGTTATTTTTAATTTTTATTTCTAATTTTTTTCATTTTTATATTGAAATAACTTTTACGTCCGAGTTTATTTTATTAAATTAATAGGTAAAATAACTTTTTACACGAATACATTCGGACAAGTGGTTTTTAATATATAAAATGCTCCAACGTTTCGAAATCAATACGATTTCCTCATCAGGGAGTCTACAAAATAATACAAAAAACAAAAATATAAAATGAAAATACGAAGACATTAAATAATAATTTATAAACATTAAACAATAAATAAAAGAACAAAAAAGAAATACACGAAGACTTAAAATGATAATTTAACAGAACATAAATAAATAAAATAAAATTAATAGATAAAAAATAAACAAAAAATTAACAATTCGTATTTTTATTTTTATTTTTGTTTCTGTTCTTATATTCTCTCATTAACCTTTGTAAGGAATCGTTGACGTTTGGAGTTTAGTTTCAATTTTGACTTCACAATTTACACCTGTTTCATTTATTTTATATTATTTTCAGTGGTTTTTCTCATTGTAAATTGTTGATAATTTTTGTTCTTTTATTGTTTATTTATTTGTTTTGTGTATTATTTTTATTATTTATATGATTGTTTTTAACAATGGAGTACGTTTCCTTGGTATGTTTTTTAAATTTTATTTCTAATTATTTCTAACTTTTATTTCTAATCCTATTGTTAATATTGTTCTTATTTTACTATAATTGTTTATTTATGATTCTTTTATTTAATTTTTATCTGTTAATTCAATTATCCCTTTTTATTTTATTTTCTTTTTATTCAACTTTTTATTTATTAATTAACTTAAATTTCCATTAACATTAACATGTTTATTAATTAATATTTTTTATAAATTTCAGTTACTAACTCCAAATGGTACATTCCAATTTTCGGATTAAAAATCTTTTAATTCTTTTGACATGTAATGTAAAACATTTTATTGGTAAGATATTTTTATTGTTTTCTTTATAGTGATTTTTATGTTCATTTTAATTATTGTTTTATTTTTTGTTAATTTTTTTTTATTTTTTATCTATTAATTTTATTTTATTTATTTATGTTCTGTTAAATTATCATTTTAAGTCTTCGTGTATTTCTTTTTCGTTCTTTTATTTATTGTTTAATGTTTATAAATTATTATTTAATGTCTTCGTATTTACATTTTATATTTTTGTTTTTTGTATTATTTTGTAGACTCCCTGATGAGAAAATCGTATTGATTTCGAAACGTTGGAGCATTTTATATATTAAAAACCACTTGTCCGAATGTGTTCGTGTAAAAAGTTATTTTACCCGTGTAGAAATCACCATGCTATGCCTAAAATGATTACTGGCCCTAGCTTGGACCTAACTTGGCAACCCCTTTTTATATATCCTGGGCTGGTCCTAACTTGGTACTAGCTAGGAGATCCAGTTATGACTTAGAAAAATTTTTAGGAAAATAAAGTGTCAAAATTGATACATGAAAAACATGTGAAAATTGATAAATATTCTCAATTAATATTTATAAAATTAATTGATAATCATATTTGTTTAAACAATTTATTGTTTGACATAAATCAGAAAATTATACAAATACTATAAAATAAAGTTAATTTATTAATTTATTAATTCAGCAATTGTTTAAACAAATAATTGTTATTTACTAACTTTTTACACAATCAACCTAGAAACTAGCAGTTTTTTCTAATTTTGCAATAAGTAAATACTCAGATTAGTTAATTGCAAAATTTTAAAGGACTACAAGTGTCTAGACGCTTTATTGTCTTAAGAATTAATAAATAACAACAATTTTTTGTTTAAACAAATGCTGAATTGTTAAAATTATAAATTATCTTCATATTTCACTACTCAAGTGTAATAATCGCGAAGTTAGATAAAAAACTGCAAATTTTTAAGTAATTTGTTACAAAAGTTAATAAAACAGCAAAATTTATTTATTCATTTAAACAGATACAGACTGCAATATAATTATCATTAGTAAAATATATTTCTAATTTCGTTCGCTGATTTTCAGTTTCGTTTAAGTTGGTGCTAAACACTAAGAGATATTGCAATTCGAATGTGGGCTGACCCACCCAGGTCCAACCCAGGACCTACCTGGGCTTCCTAGTTTCATTAGCAAAAATTTCTAAGTCCAAGTCTAAAAAATTTTTTGCAACAAAAAATTAATGCTTAAAATGATTTAGAATAATGAAAAACGTGTTTTTAACATAAATTTTTTTGACATTTTTTTAAAAAGTGGATCACCCGCTTCATTAATTAGGAAAAATTTCCAAGTCCAAAAGACGAATATTTTTTTTAGACCAAGAAATTAATGTTAAAAATGATTGAGAACAATGAAAAACCTGTTTTTAACGAAAATGTATAGATATTTTTTTTCTTGATATAATATAAAAATATTAATTTTTGAATTTTTATATTTAGATATTATTTTATTATTATTGTTGTTGTTAAACTATTTTTTTTATTTATTATCGTGTATTAGTGTCAATAATTACTATATTGAATCATCAAAAGCAAGTCCACAAGTCACTGACAATAAAAATTTTGATCTCAACTAGTTTCATTAGCATAGTGGTTAGGGCGTTAGTCTCGTAGTCCGTAGGTCGTAGGTTCGATTCCCGCGTGCGTTAGATTTTATCTACTTCTTAGGTTTGCGTTTATTCCGATTTTTCTGCATTGTATTCGTATAAGTATGCAATTTAATGATTATATATACTGTAAAATAATTTAATTAACAAATTTCTAATTTTTTTATAATTTTTAATGCATATATTAGAGGAATATATATTAATCTCTACATATACTAACATTATTTATGAATTCGCTTTTGGTCATCATTTAATTGAAAAAAATAATAATTAATTAAAACTAATACTTATTATTAATAATTTAGGTTATTTCTTTAGCAAATATTATAAACTAATTAAAATTATAATAAAATATATAAATAAACTGGTTCTAACTAGGCTCCCAAGTTAGGACCAGGCTAGAATCGCATCACCACCCATTGTTGGTCCAACCTACACTGCCAACCTAGGACCAAGCTATTAACAGGGCAAAATAGGTAGGACCTGGCTAGGACCAATTTTCATTTTCCACACGGGTACCTATTAATTTCATTTTTATTTTATTATTTTTTGTTTTCATTTAATTATTTTTCATTTTCACTTCATTATTTTGTATTTTTACTTTATTACTTTTTATTTTGATTTAATTATTTTTCATTTCGATTTAATTATTTAATTAGCAACAAATCGCGCGCTAAAGCGCGCGGCTAACTTCTTGCTACTGTTACGTCCGAAGATATAACATAGTTTAAAAATAGTTAATAATTAATTATTAACTAGATATTTGAACCTAGACTCTACAGTCTAATAGTTCGGGAAACCTTTAGTCCAAATTTTGATTAATTAAGGTTGTCTTTAATTCGTGTAATAAAAAAGGAAGTTAAAAGAAAGAAGAAAAAGAAGAGATTTTTGCCAAAGTTCCAATTTTTATACTTTTGTCCCCTCTAAAAATTTTCTAGTGGAGGAGTATGGGCATAGCAAAATTCGGTTTTGTCGAATAGAAAAAGAAGAAGGCGTAAAAACTCATTAGCGAGGGTCTTATGATGGGGACCCTTACCCAGGAGGAAAAGTCGGACGAATGTCGGATTATACAACCGCCTGGGATCCGCGCCCGTACGGACCGCCAGCACCGATGGTCTGTACCGATTCGGATCCTAAAATGCAACCGGCGCGGAACAGATTAGGCTCCGACTTTTGGATCCGCCTTTCTACTTTCGTCAGTACTGGCGCGGTACTGGATTTGTTCCGCCTGCAGATTTCATTCTTCTACGCGCGTCGGAAGAATGACGGATATGTTGAGTCTGTACTGGCTCGGTGCTGGGGCGGATCCGACTGCGGATCTCGTCATTTATTGTTATAGTTTACATTATCAGTATAATCATAAATTTATTTTATTATTATAATTAATTATTACAATAACTAATTGCATTTATTATAATATTATTATTAGTTAACCAATAAATAAATTAATTGTATTGATGCAAAGGAAGAATATAAGAAACTTAATTTTTTCATTATATTTATAAAAATCCAACTTTATTAATGTGCAATTAAATAAATAATTTTTAATAAATAATAATATTAACTTGAAAGAAAATGTGTTCAATATATAATAATACCTACAATAAATAACACATTAAATAAATATATAAAAAACAGATTATTAATTAATTTATTTATTGTTAATTAATTAATAATCTCTTTTTAATTTAAACAATATATTAAGTAATTATTTATTGACACTTTTCTGCAAATTAAATAATTAAAAAAATGTGTTGTGCATTCAAATTTCATTCAATTATTAATAATTACGTAATAAAATATTAAAAAATATAATAATAAAATAACAATTTTAACAAGTTCCTTTTTAAACGAAATATTAAAATATTCATAAATACCGGTATAACATCAGTCCGTATTTGAAAATTGTTTATTGCCGCGTAGTAATTTTACAATTTTCATTTTAGCTAGTGAGACTTGAAAGCATTTAAGATTTGAGAGTTCCATGCGAGCGTAGCATAGTGGTTAGCGTGCGAGATTTCGGTGCGTAAATATTCGGTTAGGCGTAGGTTCGTACCCCCAAGCGTTAGGATTTTTCAAATGTGTATGTAATAAAAAATTGCGTTTAAGTGTATAAAGAAATAAAAAAATGTGTAAAGTGAACTGTCAATGAATTGTCATCCGTATTTATCTTTTGCAATTAATTATTATTTTTTATTGATATTTGTTGAAATTATCATTTTGATCCGAGCCGGTTGTCAGGCGGTAGAATGCCAGCATTGCCAGCGCACATCTGGCTAGGAAATGAAAGATCCGCAGTCGGTACAGTGCCAGGTCCCAGCCGGTTGAATTATACACGGAACGGCTCTTCGCGGCCGGT